GTTTAAATGAGGGATCAGCTAGGGACTGGCCCCGCGTACGAGACAGAATCTGCTGAACATGTCTTGGAGGCTCAACTGGCTTGCTGAGCGAGGCAGGATACAGTGGGCAGTGCCATGCAGTTGAAGCACAGGGTAGAAGATCCAGGGGCTCCTCTCCTATCTGGCTCTGTTACTGACTATAAGTAATCTCTAAGCCTTGGTTTCCTCACCTGTACAAGGAGCACAATCCTGCCTTATCTACTGAGAAACATTCTTCCAAAAGGCAGAGATTAACTAGCAAAGGCAAACAGCCATTATGCAACATTTTTTGGAGCCAAGACGAAAGCAATGTGGACTCCGGCTTGTGGGATGGCTAAGACCAGACCGGTTCTGGCCATACTCCCGGGGGCTTGCTCCTTACAGATTTTCCTCAATGGGCCTTTCTCTGGCTGCGATGCCCATGAACTTTCACTGTAGTCGGACCGACACTAGGATAGGGGGTGGGTAGCCAGGTTGCAGCTGACTCCTACCCTGGGATGAGGACCTCAGAGGCTAGTCAACACTTAGCACGTTGTCTGCGGCCACCTTAGCAGGGCTTAGTCCCTGGATTCAACATCAGAGAACAGGTGCAAGTCCCAGTCTACTAGTTGTCATCTGGTAAGCCTTGGGCACTTTCTTCTCTGGGCTTCAGTGTGTTCATCTACAGAACAGGGGTAACCACCTCTCTCAGGGAAGGTTAAGGTTCACTGGGATGTTCAATTTCCTGCCTACAGGGACTGGGCTTCACAAACATTTACCACTCCATAAGAAACCGAATGAAAAGACCAGCTACACCAGTCAATTTGAGGGAGAGCATTCACTAACATGTATTGCTGCCAGGCTCCTTATAAACATCAGGAGCCCCGGTAGCTTATACGTTGGGCTGCTAACTACAAGGTCAGCAGTTCAAAACCACCAGTCTCAGAGAAAAAGATGAGGCTTTCTACTCCCATAAAGAGCCACGGTCTCGGAAACTCACAGTGGCAGTCCTACCCCGTCCTATGACAGGGTCACTGAGTCGGTGTCAACTCAACGGCACTGAGTGAGTTACAAACACAAACTCTCTTCAACCTCACAAGAACTCTAAAAGTCAGTATTATCATAGCTATACAGGTGAGAAACTGAGGTTCAGGGAAGTGAAGCAACAAGTCCAAGGTCACACAGACAGTCGGGTTCTAGAGCTCATTCAAGGAGGGAGCACTTTCTCTCCCCTATCTCAGTGTAAACCGCTTGGGTGGCTGGACCATGGCCAGGCCAGACTGGCCTCTGGAGGTCCTGTTTCAGGTGCTGAGCGGACAAAACATCAAGCAGGCCCCACCGCCTTATCTCTTTCCCACAGCTTAAGGTTTCCGAGCAGGCGGACACATAGGCACCTTCCCAGGGCAGCAGCTGGTATACTGGCCTCCACCCTTGCCAAGTCAGGTCTTGTCTGAAGCCCTAGAACACTCACATGGCCACCAAACCGGATTTTCCTTTGAGGCTAGGGGAGGGAAAGAGGAGAGAAAATGGGAGGGCCTATGGTCTAGAGTCACAGACCAGGGACCCACATATACCACTGCCTCCTTCCAGATGGGCCACCCAGGGACCACTGCACTGCCAGCTCTATGCTATCCTGGGATTTATAATAGCTCAAAAAAAGAAGATGCTCTGGGCTTACAAACTGGAGACAGTAGTGGCGAGACAGGGAGGCCTGTCAAGAAGGCCCTGGCCTCACCCCAACAAAAACCGGCACAGATCATATTATGACCTCAAACTCACTGCCACTGAGCCCATTCTGACTCACAGCAAACCCACAGGAGGGGTAGAACTGCTCCTGTGGGTCTCCAGACTGCAACTCTTCACAGGAGTAGAAAGACTCATCTTTCGCCCGTGCAGCGCTGGTGCGTTTAAACTGCTGACCTCGTGGTACATAGCCCAATGAGTAACCCACTATGTCACAGAAATCCTTGACCAAACTACAGAGATACCAATATAGCCAGCTGTATGATTTCCAAAGTCTTGGGGCTACCAGAGTTGGCTAGAAGGAGTGGAGGGCCCAGGGGATGGGAAGATGAACCCACAGAAGGCAAGACTACTGCTCCAGATGTTTCTCTCTGGGCCCAGCTCTGATCCCTCCCTCCTCTCACAGGAAGCAGACACCCAAGGGATCCCAGAATTCATAACCATCTCAGTCCCACCAAAGCTTCCCTGCACGGTAAACACAAAAGACAGAGCAAGAAAGTGGGAAAAGTCAAGGACTGGGAATCAGGAGAGCTGGGTCCAATTCCTATTTTTACTCCTAAGAGAATAAAGAGTTGAGGCTAATCACTTCTCTCAAGCCTCAATAGATTTATGTCTATATGAAGACGGCCATTTCTAAGGTCACAGACAGATTTCTGACTTAGAATGTTCGAAGCATTATTAATATTAATAAATATTAATTGGGTATTTACTCTGCTACAAGTCTTACATTAGATGCTGAGGAGACGAAAGGTCCCAGACCAGAGGTTGATTGGTTAATGAACTGGTATTGACAAAACACGCCTTCCTTTGCTATCCAGCCCTATTAGCCTCAATTTCCTCATCTGTACCATAATTAAGGCTTAAACTGGCCAATCTCTTAAAATTCCTTCCAGCTCAAACAATCTGATACTACGATCTACTCACACCAGGCACTTGAGCTAGGCTGGCCTCTGGCCTGCTTCCTTCCCCACACCCAAGCCCCTAGCAACTGCCCAAACTGACCGTCTTGAGACAACCTTTGGACCAGGGTGGTGGCTAAACTGGACCTTTAATCTGGAGCCAGAGTCTCCGCCATCTCCACTGCTGCCATCAGCGCTAATGTTTCACTTCTTGGGGACAGCACATGGGCTCCAAAACCTCAACCACGAGACTGGGCTTAGGGCAGTCACCCTGAAACTTTGTAACTTCCCCTCTTATGGTTTGGGCAGAGACTTATTCTTGGCCTTTCTGGAACCACAATATTAAGCTAAGCGGGGAGCATCCAAGTTGCAGACACCAGAGAATTTAGGTTGACCAACAGGGCCAAGAAAATGAGGCAGGGTGAGAGGAGTAGACCTGGGACCGGGCTTCAGTTTCAGCATTACAAACACCAGTGATGTAGAAGGCGTCTGCGGAGCCACATCCCGGGTTTGTGGTTGGGGGTTGGGGAAGACAGATGTCTGGTTGCGGATGACAGCCAAAGGGAGGTGCTCCCACTGGGGCCTCTCTCTGTCCACAAATACCAGAGGTACTCCCTCACTTTTCTCAATTCTCTGAACCATAGATAGAAAACAAACAGCTCCTGGGCTGCTAGTTAGGCAGGCACTGTGCTAGGCACCTTCTCACACCTGACCTTACTGACTCCCCACAGTAATCTTGAAAGTCGGTGTTATTGTTGCCCTTCACAATGAGTAAACAGGCTCAGAGCTTCTCCTGATCTTGCCCAAGGTCACACAGCCAGTAAGTGTGATTCCTAAGTCCTCTTCTCACTATATCACACTGCTTTGCACCCGGAAGTACGTTCTGGCTAACTGCCCCAAGACAGAGGTAGTATGACTTCTCCTGCCTTAGAATTTACTGACACATCTGGGCTCTTCTTCCTAAGAACCCACAAATGCAACTGGGACCACCATTCCCAGTTTGCCAGACTCCACCTCTCTCAGGGCTCTGATCCCTGGTGCCTCTTCCCCAACTCTGAAACACACCCCATGTCCCCTTTGGGCTTTCACAAACTAATCTCTGGGGAACTGTGACAAAGACTCAAGTCAGGGATCAGGGTGAGGGATCAGGGTGAGGTTGCTGGAATGGGCAGGGTTTAGGCTCCTATGAATACATGGGGAGAGGCTGGAGGAGGCTGTCAGTAGGTGGGAGGGACTTCTCCTTAGAGGTGGGGACTCCATTTCTCCAAGGAAGAGGAGGCCTGATGCAGAAGAGGTTTTCTGGCTGTGGGGGAATTCCGGAAGTGGCCTGTTAAGAGCAGCTTGTGGGGCATGGAGTTCAAGGCATGTCCATAAGCCACCCGAGAGGCTGGGGGAGTTGGGACAGTCACAAGGGGTCAGAGGATGGGAGGAAGAATCATGGCTGGGCTGGTGAGACTCCCTAGGTGACTGTCTCTGCTGACAGAGACAGAAGATGAGACTTATCAGTTCTGTCTGGGGCCCTCTCATGTGACAAGGCAGCCCGGATTCGAGCAGGATCTGGAGTCCACCCTTCCTAGGGGGACCACCGGTCTATGCACACAGGAGCTAAGGATTGGGCTCTGAGCACTTTGGGTGGGGGCAGTGTGCCCAGCTCTGGGAAGGGTGCCACTCCCCTGATTCACATTTCTGACTTGCCAGCCAGGTGCCTCTGGGCCCTGGGGGCAGGGGACCTAGATGCTCTGGGAGCAGAAACCCAGCTGTCTGCTTGATCCCCCAGACCAGTTTGGGGGGGGAGGTGCCTAGCCCCACAGCACACCCAGAATTAGGCTGATGTTCTCTCCTACTAGAAAAGAAGCAGGGAGGGCAGAGGGTGTCCCAGGACCGGGAGGGGCTGTCAGTCCTGGGTGGGGCCATCTGGGTGAACACAGTGGGAGTCCCCTAGAGCGGAGTGGTGGCACAGGGAATCTGCGGCTGTGGGTGTCCCTGGAGGTGACTGTCTGTCAGCCCTGAGTGGGTGCCCAGTGTGGCAAAGCCTGCGATCGGGGTGGAAGTTGTGCAGGTGACCGTCAGTCTGTCCTCAGGTGGGGAGGAGGCCACTGTCGTCTGTCCTGGGGCGTGAGTCTGTCTGCCGTGAGGGGAGAAGATCCGTGTGTCGTTCCCTAGGTCTGATGTCGGTTTGGGGGTCAGTCGACCCGCGGAGGGCGGTGGGGTAGGGGACAGTAGGGTGGGGAGTGGGGGGGTGTCCCTGCTTAGGAAGTGGCGCGGTGGCCAGTCCTGAAGGCGGACCTGTCCGCATCGAGCGCCCCGACCCTCGCGATTCGCAGCACGCCCGACCCTTGGCCCGCCCCCCGCGCTACTCACGCGCCCTCGGCGCCCTGAGAGCCCACGATGAAGCCGAACTTGTCGATACGCCGCTCTGCGAAGCCGTTGGCCTCCGAATCGGAGCCCAAAGAGCTGAGCTCGTCGGC